CATAGTGAGATATGATCTTTAAAAAAAGAGAAATGGGTCCTCAAGGACATTTGTACACCCACATTCATTCATGGCAGGCTCATTTAATGGCCAACCCAAACATCCATGAGCTTATGTAACACACAAAATGAGGACTATGCACTGAACATGCAGGATCCGTGCTTACAGAAGCTCCCCCCACAGGCCTCCTCCAACAAGGCCACACCTCCTAATCCTTCCCGAACAGTTCCACCAATTGGAAGTCAAACATTCAATTATACAAACCTAAGGGGACAACTGTCATTCAAACCACCACAAGTCCTTTCCATCTACCACGTGGGTCCTGGGACACAGCGCAGGTTGTCAGGTTTGGTGGTTAGCACTTTTACCCACTGAACCATCTTACTGTACCAGTTGCCTTTTGATTCGGGACCAAAGAAGTAGGTACTAAGAGACTAAAGGATTACAAATCAATGGATATTATTTTAAAGTTTAGAGCACAAGCCTGAACCAAGGCCAGCCAAATGGAGATATGTCTAGTAATGCACTGAGGGGAAGAACTAGCCTTACTGCATTCTTTCCCACCCACTAATTATACAGTTGCTAGGAAACTGGCCCATATGGTCAGGCCAGAACTGTTTGTAGTCTTGGCACCTAAAGTAGACCAATAGTTTCAAAAGTCAATTTCCCTTACCCAGTCGTGTAATACCAAAGCATGTAAGTCTCTGCTTGTGTTTTTTTTTTTTTTTTCCTTTAAAAATACCGTACCCCTAGACCTCGGGGCCGCATTCCTCTCCTGTTTCCATAGTAGGTTTGTGTCTCATGTTTAAGCATGTATATAATTTAAAAAACCTCATGTATTTACAGTCTATTTATTCCTGGTCTTTTGGGGTTCGTGAACTGGGCATAATAGTACATCCAGCAATGTATGGCAGAAATGGGTGAGACTTCAAAGAAAGGATGAGAATGTTTTGAGGGTCTGTTTATTAAGAAAGGAAAGCACTCCCACGAATAGGGGTAGACTATTATGGTGGTCTGAAGGAAATTTACCTACATTTGCCATTAAGGAGTGGCACTACTAAAATGTTTGGCCTTGCTGGAGGAAATATGGCTCTGCTGGAGGAAGTGTGTCACTGAGGGGTGGGCTCTGAGGTCTCAGATGCTCAAGCCAGGCCCAGTGTCTCACTCTCTTCCTGTTGACTGCAGCTACATCTCTAGCACCATGTCTGCCTGCAAGCTTCCATGCTTCCTTCCATGACAATGATGAACTAAACCTCTGACTGTAAGCCAGTCCTAATTAAATGTTTTCCCTTATAAGAGTTGCCGTGGACATGGCGTCTACTCATAGCAATAAAACCCTAACTAAGACACCTATTGAGAGAAAGAAGCAGTCTTTGGGCTAGAAGACCTACAACTGTATACGGCACATTTACATAGCATCTACCTCCCTGATGTTCTGTTTCATGAAGACCAGGTAGGGAAGGTATTCAGTCTGTCTCTGCCTACAATCCCCTCTTTACTTTTGTAATTTTAAAAACATGCATTTTTGTTTATATGTATGAGGGTTTGTCTGCATGTATATATTTGCATCCTGTGAATGTCTGGTACCTCAGGAGGCCAGAAAAATGTGTTGGATCTCCTGGACTGAAGTTACAGTTGTGAGCTGCCATGTAGACAGTAATGACTGAAAACAAGGGCAAGGACAGCAAGCACTCTTAACTGTTGAGTCATCTGTCCAGCCCTCCGTTGTTCACCTGATACAGCTCCTTTCAGTCTCTTTTGTTTGGTTCATCACAAGCTGCCTTTCTGGACTGAGTAGATGCCCCTTCCTAGCTCCTCAAGAAAGAAGATTACAATGGGTCATGGGACAGGCAGAGCCCACCAATTCTTCATCAGTGCAAGAATACTACAGTTTTCAAATTAATAGAATTCATGAATAGAGAGATGCTCAATGGTTAAGAGCCATGGCTGTTCTTCCAGAAGACCAACTTTGGTTCCCAGCCCCAATGTAGCAGCTTACCAAACATCTGTAACTCCAGATCCAGGGCATCTAATGTGCTTTTCTGGACTCTGCAGGCACATGTGACACACAGACATGCATTCAGTCCAAACACTCATTTCTATAAAATGAAAATAAATACAATCTCACAAAAAATTAGCAACAAAAAAGAATTGATTTCTGAGACATGTCCTGATATGAAGTCATTACAGTAAATTTGAAAAAATAGTCACCAAATATTCTGTGATTTTGCTTAAACAGGGTGTCATAGAAATCTCAAATTCACCCAGAGTAGAATGGTAGTTGTCAGAGGTTGGAAGCTCTTTTAGAGCTGCTCTTTAACATGTACTGAGCTTGACTATGGGGAATGAGAATGGCCCGGAGGTGAATGGGGGTAGTTGTTGCAGGATATTTGATCCCATTTTGAACCCTGAGATTGTTATGCCCAGATCGTGAGACCCCCCAAGAGACCACCAGGAACATGAGTCTGATGCAAACACACAAGGGTCTTTATTCAATCTCAAACTTGGGCTGTCAATTGTCCCTGATGCAGAAAGAGTGGCCCAGTGCCTCAGGAGGACAGAATTTTTAAAGGGAAAAACCACAAGCCAGTAATTCCAAGCCTTGGTGTTACAGGATTAGGTAAGAGAGGAGGGGGTAGATTGAGGAATTTGACTCTAAACTGATCAGTTCAGGCTGACTGGCCAAACCGCAAGGGGGAAACAGACTATTGAAAAGGAACATCTTGACCTGGGCAAGACCCAGAACTTTGTGTGTACTTTTATTTCATTGGTTGGCTCCAGGTGTAGGGCCAAGTATTCTTGCCAAGTTCCTCCTGTGGGCCTATCTGCTCTTGCCAAGTTCCTCCCAGGATTTTTGCCTTGCCAAGTTTTTGGTGGGGGAACTTGGGTCATCCAAAATGGTATCTGAAAAACAAGATGGAGTTAGTTCTGCTCTTTCTCTTTCAAGATTGTGAATTGTAAAAACTCATTTCTTGTGTGGTGTGGTTCAGCCCTAGCACACACCTTTAACCCAAGAGCTTTCTGTACACAGGATTAACTGAAGTCAACCATAGGTCAAGAAACAGAGCAAGTAACCAGATGACAGGGATTAACAGAAAGGAGAAACTTTGAGATAAAGGGGATATAAGACAGCATGGAGAAGAAAAAAGGGTGTTTGGCTTTTTCTTTCTCAGTGTAGAGAAGAAACAGCTTTCAGCTGAGCTAACAAGCTTTTGGGCTTGGACTTTTGGTTTTTGGATTTTTTCCTTCTGGCATGTGAGCTGAGTAGGAAGGTCATCTGGGTGCTTTCTCCGCCTCTCTGAGCTAACAGGTCTTCACCCCAGCATCTGGCTCTTGAATCTTCATTGGTAAAATCAAATGATTTGGGATTTTCTTTCTTTAAAACAACAGGTAGTGACTGTTCAACTGTGGGAACACACTGAGTGCCTCTAATATGAGTTCTAAACGGTGATATATATATAACCACAATGAACAAACAAAATACTTAGGAAAGTGTGGTGGTAGTTCAAACCTATTATCCCAGGATTTAGTAGGTAGAGACAGAAGGATCAGGAGTTCAAGGTCATCCTTAACTACAAAGCAAGTTTAAGACCAGTGTGGGCTACAGGAGACTGTGAAAAAGAAAAATAACAGCAACAAAAATTATGTGGCTCTGGAGAAAACGTAGGTGAAACAGACTTTCCTCAGTTGCATCTGTGGGGCTTCCTCTTCTCTGATGAACAAACACTTGTCCTATCCTAAGGATTTTTCCCCCCTGAAGACAACTAGAAGCAGATGAAACAGGTAATTAAGGCTGACTTGCTTGTTGATACTATCAACTTGACAAGATTTAGAATCACCATTGAAACAAATCTCTGAACACATCCACAAGGGAGGTTATAGACTAGGATATATGGAGTGAGCTTGAGAGTTTGCTCAGCCTGAGCTACTTATGAAGTCCTGGCTCAAACCCCTACTTTAAGCAATGGGCTGCTAACACTCACTAGATTTACTGCACAGCTCACTAAGCAGCCATCACGCTTAGCTGCCTCCACACCCAGAAGCTCTGCAAGAACAGACTCCTGTTTTGCTCACCTATGTCTCCTGGCACCTTTACCTTGCCAAGACCCCAAGTAGCCTCTTTATAAACAGTGATGAAAGACTTGAAACAGCCCGGAATTAGCGCAGATACCAACTAGCACTTTTAGATGATTTGTATCATTTACCCAAAGGTGGATAACAAATAACATAATAACAGTTTTTTGTTTGTTCGTTTTAAAAATCCCTTACTTATTTAAAAGTATTTAGGTATTAACAAGCCTCCGCTTGAAATATGAAGAGAAAACACAAGCCGAAGGGTTGGAAAGGAGAAGGACCCATGCTGCCGTGTTTAGTAGAAGGGGTTCTGGAATAAAGAACACTAAATTGTTTATCTGCAGAAGAGGAACTGGGTAAAACGCATACTTCTGCATTATTGAACTTTTACAAATACAGTATATGACTTTGATAAGACTGCAGCTGATCCTCTTGCAAACCTTTCAACCCTGTCTTTACTTGTACTATTTGGCAGCCTTTGGTTGACCCGTTTCTACATCCTATTCAGTGCAATACCCGCTGGATACACTTCGAATTAATGTGTCCGTGCACTATGACTACCAGAATAAAAGCTGATCATTTTCAGGCAAATCCAAAAAGCAATTACTTTCTTTGTCTTGTCTTGTAAGGTCTCAATAACATCACTACGAGCGGCCACGAATTACACTTTGCAGTGCGATTCGCATCCGAGTTTGTCCAGCTTCACGTCGTTCTTGGCGACAGTCTTCCTTCTCAAGGTCCAGCTACTCGAGGCGAGGAGGAAGGAGTTCGTGCCAGCCCGCCCCACGCATGCGCCCCACGCCTGAGGCTCCTGCGTGCCCAGCAGGTCAGATCCAGTCGGGCAGGCCTCTTGGCCTACAATCCTCAGGCGCCGCCCGGGGCGGAAGTGAGAGGGCGGGGCCTCCGAGAGCCGGCCCACCCCGGAAGTGGGCGGGGCGCCGAACCCCCGGCGGACTCGCAGCCTCCCAGTCGGGTTGCGGCCGAAGCCGGTCCTGGCTTTGTAGCTCACTCAAGATGGCGGCGCAGCCACCCAGCGGGATCCGCCTCAGCGCGGTGAGCAGCCGCGAGGGGAGGAGCGGGCCGGGTCCCAGGAGGGCGGGCGGGCCAGCGAGGCGGGGGTGGCAGTGGGCGGCGGCGACTCGAGGGCCCGCCGCGGCGGCCGGGGGTCGCGGCGGGGCCGGGGGACCACCGCCATGTCGCTCCGCCCGGGGGAGCGGCCGGGAGGCGACCCGTGCGCCCGCCGCCCCAGCCCGTTGCGGGCGGCCTCCCCTCCTCGGGCTCCGCGGCCGCCGCCGCCGGCTGCCGTGGGGGGTCCGAG